TGAAAGAGGACAGCCCTGTCGGACACCACTTGATGTGAACTCAGGAGAAAGCTTCCCGTAGACCTTTACACGGCCGCGAAAGTTGGCATACAGAGCCTTAATGAGGTTCAAGAATTTATGGGGACACCTTTGCTCCACAGACACTGCCATAGTGCTTGGCGATCCACAGAGTCAAAGGCAGCTTTCAGAACAAGAAGCAATCATTGTTGGTTGCTGGAAGGAGTGTCGCTGTTCCAGAATCTGTCGGGTACCTTTTACTGAGAAGGCACCAACCAGAGACCAGCAAGAAGAAACCAAGAAAATAAAACTATCTGATCAACTGTCCAGATCCTCTTCCGCGCACAAACTGCTGGGTAGATTCTTGTGGGGATTTTTTAATGTCCGCACAGTTTCCATTAGCGGACACGTGGGGGATCAAAATCTCTCGAAATTCCAAAAAATCGGATAAATTCTGTTATTTTACTCCACAAGTCTTGATAGATAACAGTGTCTTATTTGACCGGGCTCACCCAGTTCTCAAAGTTCTGACAGGGCGAGCAAACGGTGGTGTGCGGACGCTCTGGCAATTAACGCCCAACCTACGCACTTTAGGCGAAGCGAGTCTGCCCGTATCGGTTGTGCAGCCAGAGCACTATTAAATGGCGTGACGAGCTCACCCCACCTTCGGCCTACACAAATGTTACCATCACACCGTTGAATTAAACAAAAGACAGAAGATATTGAAGATGATTTTACACGCAGAGAGTAGAAATTTGAAGAAAGGAGGCATTTCTCATGATCAAAATTCACAGCAACTCTCCGGCGTCAGTTCAGACAACCAAACAATTTTCACTAGAGAAACTCCAGACTTCTGAGGTGGAACAACCGTGTTGTTGGAGTCTAGAAAGTGACCATTTAGTCCGCTATTTGTAAACTAACCTGCCACCAGGAACTCGAAGTGCAACTGAATTCGACGAGCTTTCTGTCCTAAACATTTGGTCCGGTGAAGGTTTTATGTCAAAAGCAAGATGCTGCGTTGTAATAAAGTTTCTGGACTTTCTGAGGCGACCAATCCTCAGTGGGTTTTGATCGCCGTCCAGATGACTCAACCTGGGAATGACCAATTATCCGCTGAAATGTTCAGACTTGGTAAACAAGAAACTGAGCAGAAGATCCTCCATATGATCCGTTCAATAGAAGAAGCGGACTGCGAGAACTACAAGGAAGGTATCATGGTGCCCTTATTCAAGAGAAGCAACAGACGAAAGGCAGACAACTTTCGTGAAATTGTCAGAATCTGTAGTTCTGGAAAGCTCAGATCCGTCAATTTTCTTCACTCTGGGATGAAATCTAATGCTTTGATTGGTGAAAATATGTCCTCAGATTTCAATGTTGATACAGAGGTTTAAGAAACCTCATATGTTGCGTAAGTAACCAAGCGGAGGGTTTTCGAAATTCATAAGATGGTGTGACTGTTCTGATTGTCTGATTGGACACCAACTCAAATTGAGACTCTTTATAGCCAAACGTGAATCGTGTGATGTTTCCTGGTGGTGTTTCCTGTTGTGCTTCATTGGCTCATTCTAAGGTGGACTTACAGCATCTAGCTGCGTTAGTTCACTTTGCGGCACTCCACTTTGACTTGAGTATACCTTTTTTCTTTTTCTTCTGTTAGCAGCAAACTCTGTCAAACATAGATGTGGATGTAAGGTGAATAACGTATTGTTTGGTTCGCTCCCACCGTGCTATAATCTGACCACCGACAAGACGATCGAAAAGGGTTTGATTCGCAGCTACCAAAGTCGTTGTCACTTTAAGAAGACTTCAAAAGCGTGTTTGGAGTGATCACAATCTGTGATGTGCCATGCTATCCTATTGGCTAGACTTTTGTATGGTAGTGAAATGCCGTCATCATATACGTATCCTCATTATGATACCTCCTCTGTGAATAGGGATCTTGCACATACGTAGGTCGCACCCCCTCAGGTTCTTCAGATGGCAAAGGCACATGGAATGGCGGGCATCTTAATTCGCAAGCAGCTTCGCTGGTGAGGCCAAATGAAACTCATGATATTGGTGCATATTTCCAAAATACTGTTATGTGGGCAGTTAGAGAATGGTCTTAAAGGCTGAGCATAGACGTAGGACTCTGCTGAGGAGCACATGCATTTCTTTCTGATGTCTCTGTTCATTGTGATGGTGAAATCTGCGCTGGACTGAAATACTTTTAAAAGAGCCATAAAAATAGGTGCAGCGTATTTCGAGACTCACCACCACTAGGAACCGCAATAATCAGTGTTTAAAGCTGCTGCATGACCATAATTTACTTAGAATATTATTGTGAAGAAAAAGCCAGAAATGGACACGTAACGCACGTAGTACCAGTCTGCTACAAACCTCCATACCCTCACTCAAACAGTCTGGTAAGAAACTGAAAAAATAGCGCCCGTTGACTTTGATTAGAATCCACATCTTCGAGCTTCAAAGTATATCGATATTCGAGCATAGATGATCAATCCTTAAGCGATTCGCGACAAACATACCGACGCTGACACCGGTAAATTTATAGTGCTGTTCATGAGTAAAATCAGACAACCTGAACACCGGTGTTTCCATGCTGCATCAGCCGAGAAGCGTCAACGGGTCAGTTCACTTCTGTTCGTAACATACGGTATTATGCTGCTACTACACCTGTACTGACCTGGTCAGCTCCAGGGGAAATGGTTACATGGTACTGTGCGTAGAAAGTAGGGTATGCTGAAGCCTAACGGAGTCGATGAATACCATCTGCACGTCACTGTTTAACATGAATCCAGCGTTCATTGAAATGACATCATGCTTAAACCGACAGATGGCTACCAACAGGCCATAGCGAGTTTTTCTTCGGTTTCCATAGGATTCACAGGCTCCAATGAGAGAGACCACCGAGCTGAGAGAAAAAGGACTTTGTATATCGACTGGACCAAAATCTGGGACAGACGACTACACATTACATGTCAGCATAGTCTCGGACGGTGTGGAATGAGAAGAAGCAGAAGTATGGTGCTGATGAATATTCTCTCGCCATAATCTCAGCCCTACATGTCATCGGTTGTGATATCAACTTTTTGGTTCACCAACCGATGATCATCTCTTATCGAGGGATCTGCTTTCCTCAATCCGCTAAGGCTGTTATTGGATTGCGACTTCCTAAGGTCGCAGTCAGTGACTTTTGTTTGCTTGCCATTGTGGGCTCCCTGCGTACTTATGACACTTTTATGCGTGGCACATGGCGTTGAAGGTACATTCTGGCCATTTAATCTCACACCAGACCCAGTATGACGTACACTTTGTGCCTGATGTGCGAGTCTTGACTGTGCTAGCGCACACTGCGCCTTGAAGAGCATTCACCATTGTTTGTCCTTTCTCTGGTTGTTGGTCTTTAGACGCGTGTTCCCATACCAAAATCTTTACATACTTTGGGATTCACCTCATCAGACTGGCACTGTCCTTGGCATGATTTCGAATGAGAC